ACGAATTCTTGCCTTTTTCTCCCTTTCTTTCTTTTTTTCTCTCTTCTCCAAGCCCTAAGCGTATTTCTCAATTCTCCAAACTGACTAAGTCATGTTTTTACCCCAATAAATCCCTAAAATCAAATTAGGAAATTAATTAGAAAAAAGACTACTTTACCCTTCCCTAAAACCGGATTGGGACTTTCCTCAATCCAACAGTCCAGCTTCTAAAAGGCATAACTCACTCATATGATGTCGAAATCGTGCAATATCGGCGGCGTTGGAAAGATCTTTCAAACCATATCAAGAGCTTCTCTTAACTCACCCTGAGCTAGGAGTTATGGCCATTTGAAAATGGCCAAAACTCACTTTCTTAACTTAGACAAAATTTCCAGATTTCCTTATTCTTTCCAAAAATCATTATTTTCATATTTTAAACTCATTATAGTCGTTTCTAGGTGCGAGATGTTACATAATTAGTAGGCATTTGGACATGTTTGGACCATATGATTTGAGATCATGATTAAAATTTTCAAATTCTCCAATAAACAAGATTTGGGATCTCAAATTGTGATTCAATTTTTTTAAATGTAAAATTTGACCCCATATATTATAGGTTAATTACCTTATTAGGCATACATCACTACCATATATACTAATATTATTGCTACTTTCACAAAATTATACATATATTACAATTTTTAATATTTTATACCATATATTATTGAAGATATAATCAGATTCCCATATTCCTAAGAGCGTTTTAACCAAAAACCCTAAAAATACCTAAACTCCTATTGAGAGTGGCGGCTAACATGGTCGGCACAACCGCCGGTGAGAGTGTCCCACCGGAGGAATTCCCTCATCTACCCACAAAATCCAATCATGAATCACAAACCACCATACCTCAGAATATAACCCAATATGCCACTTTGCTAAAACCAAAACCTATTGCCCCATCTATTATTAATGTACCACCCAAACCAGTATTCCTACTTCATAGAAAACCAAGCATCATGTGGAAGACATCAGAAGTGAGATCGATGATAGTCAAGGAGAACCTGCAATATGCAATAGTAGGAAAATTTTCATAGGGCAAGCCTGAAATCAAGGAATTGAGGAAAGTGATACCATGACAGTGTGGAGTCAAAAGTGAGTGCACGATAGGTGTGTTAGATGCGCGACACATATTGATCAGACTCACTACTATGGAGGACTATGTACATTTACTTTCGACGACGGCCTTTTATGTGAAGGCAAAGGAGAGTTATTGGCAGATGAGAACCCTTAAATGGGAATCATGATTTGAACCGGATGTGGAAACAACCATAGGTGTTGCGTGGATCTCATTCCCAGATTTACCACCAAATTTATTTACTAAAGAATCAATTTTTTCAATAGCCAGCGCAGTTGGAAAACAGCTTACAGTGGATATGGCGACAAATAATCAGACGAGGCCGAGCTGTGCTAGAATCAAAATTGAGGTGGATTTGACGGCAAAACTACCACAAAGGATACGAATAAATGAAGAAGATGATAACACTGGAGTAGTGAAATTCAAATGGGTGAAAGTACAATATGACTACATGCCTAAATATTGTAAGGAATGTTGCCTCCAAGGACATGATGAACACACTTGCTGGACAATCCATCCTGAATTATACGAAGAAAACAAAGAAGGAGACCAGCAAAAGGAAGAGAGGGAGAATATCGCAATGGGTACAGCAGCAGATCAGTGAAAGGTGTTGGCAAGTGGAAAAGTAATGGCGAACAAACAAAATAAACAAGAATGGATGGTGAGAAGAAATAAGTATAAAAAGGATAGATATGGACATATTGAAGGGGAAATTATCTATCATGATGAAAACTCCTTTGAAGCACTTAGGGAGGATGATGAGCATGATAAGGGGGCAACTACAAGTGATGAGGCGAAGGCAGGAAACACTAAGGACTGGGTTACTAAAACTTTTGGCCAAAGTGAAAAGACAGACAATCCAATAGACAAAGATAATCATATCAAAGAGAAGAACAAAGAGAATAAACATGGGAATATGGAAGAAATGCAAGGGTTACAAAGACAACAAGAAGTTGAGAAGGACAATGAGGATACCTATGACCAAATCAATAAAAGAGCATTAGTGTTATTTGAAATAAACAATAAAGAAATCCTCCCACTGGCAAGTCGGAATGATGATGAAGAGGAAAGAGAGAACCAGAATGAAGAATGTATTGATAAAGGTGACCTAACTGAAATCATGGAAAAGGTAGCAATACAAGGAGATTTATTGCCTACCCAAATAGGAGAAATGAAAATTAGTCATACAAAACAGGGGAAACACAATAATGAAGAAAATACAGGGGCACAAATATTATCCCGACAATCAAAGAGAACGATTGTCAAGAACTCCAAATATCAATGAAGGCTTTAATTTGGAACATTAAGTCTGTAAATACTCAAAAGGTGTTTACTAGACTTATGAACCTACATAAAAGATTTCAATACTATTTTGTGGGGTTGTTGGAACCATTTGAAGATAGACAAAGTTTAGAGGATTTTAAGAGAAAATTGGGAATGCAACATGTTGTTGCTAACCCCAATGGAAAGATATGGGCTTTCATTGATGGGATAATGGAGTATGAAGTGATTAGAGAGGAAGAACAAATGTTAACACTCAAATTGCACAACATTAATTTGGGTCTGGAGGTATTGATTTCTTTGGTGTACGCAAAATACACACAAGGAGAAAGATTGCAACTATGGGAATCTATGTATGACTTGGCCACAACAACAAATATACCATGGCTGATAGGAGAGATTTTAATGTTATCAGTAATTCAGAAGAGAAACTAGGGGGACACAGGTCACAAAATTAGAAGTAAGGGACTTCAACCATTGCATTAGTGTGTGCAATCTAGAAGATAAATGTTTTAAAGAAAGCAAATACACGTGGTGGAATGGAAGAACAGATGAGGATTGCATTTTCAAAAGGTTGGATAGAGTATTGAGTAATGATCATCTTCAAACTGTATTTCCAGTTCTTGAGATAGAACAGCTGGTGCGGAGTGGATCGGACCATACTCCGCTATCTATCACTTTCAAAACCAGTGAAGAGAAAGTAATAAAGCCTTTTAGATTCTTGAATTTCTGGGTGAAAGAGGACTCGTTTATGGAGGTTATCAGGAATCATTGGAAGGCGGACTTTGAGGGGACCCCTTTATTTTGTTTCATCATAAATTAAAGAGGGTAAAACGAGCACTGACACGATGGAGCAAAGCAACCTTTGGCAATATTTTCCAGGAAATTATCACACTTGAGGAAATAATTAAGATACAAGAGATTGAGTTTGAAGTGAATCCAACGGGTGGAAATAGGGAAAAACTTCAAAAGACTCAGGAAGATTTGAAGAAGCAACTTCATAGTGAAGAGGAATTCTGGAAACAAAAATCTGGCATGGAATGGTTTAAGGAAGGGGACAGAAATACCAAATTCTTTCACACCATAGTGAAGGGTAGAAGAAGAAGACTGAAGGTGACCAGAATTCAAAATGAAGAGGGTGTATGGATGGAAGATCAAGGGGACATTGCAGAAGCAACAATTAATTTTTATACACAACAATTTACAAGGCACGATATTGAGGTAAATATGGAAACTTTCGAAAGAGATGTTAGGTGAGCTTCCAAAGGTAGTAAATAAAGAACAGAGTGAAGAATTGTAGAGGATGCCAACTATAGAAGAAGTCAGAAGCGCCGTAATGGGACTGAATAGGAACAGTGCAGCAGGTCCAGATGGTATGACAGGGGCCTTCTATCAAAACACGTGGGAAATTATTAATGAGAATGTGTATAATATAGTTAAGGCTTTCTTTTGTAGTGCTGAACTTCCTAGATTTATCACACACACAAATTTAGTTCTTATCCCGAAGAAAATGGTTTGAACACTTTTTCATACCTAAGACATATCTCTTTAAGTAATTTTACGAACAAGATAATTTCGCAAATTATACATGAAAGAATTAAGGTGGTGTTACCAGGTGTTATTTCTCCACAGCAAGCGGGATTTGTGCATGGGAGAAGCATAGCAGAGAATGTGTTGCTGGTGCAGGAGATAATATCAGAAATTCAAAAAAGAGGAAAAACACCCAACATGGTCATTAAATTGGATATGATGAAGGCCTATGATAGAGTTGAATGGTTGTTTTTAACCAAGGTCCTAAGAAGGATGTGGTTTAGGGAGAGACTCATTGATATGGTGTATAGACTAATTAGCAATAATTGGTATTCCATCCTTGTTAATGGTCAACTGAGAGGTTTCTTTAAATCCTCAAGGGGACTAAAGCAGGGGGACCCTCTCTCTCCCACTCTTTTTATTCTGGCGGCAGAAGTAATGTTAAGATCTCTTAATGCTTTGATGAGGAATAAAGAGTTCAAACAATTTGGTATGCCTAGAGGAAGCCTCAAATTAAATCATTTGGCTTTTGCAGATGATATGATCATTTTATGCAAGGCAGACGTAGGGATAATGAGAATGATAAGTGACACATTGAAGTAATATGAAGAGGTTTCGGGGCAAAAGGTAAATAAAGATAAAAGTGCTATATATCTGCATCATACAGTGCAAGGAGGTGAATCAGTGGTAGCAGAGGTGGCTACTGAAATTTTGAGACAGAATTTTCCTTTTACATATTTGGGTTGTCCGACATTTTATAAAAGGAAACAAAAAGCTTACTATAAGCACATGATCCAAAGGATAGGAGGAAAGATACAGGGTTGGAAAGACAAATTATTATCTTATGGGGGCAGAGCAATTTTGATAAAACATGTGCTTCAAAGTACTCCAATTCACTGTTTATCAGTTATGAACCCTCCAAATAATGTTCTTAACCAGGTACAACAAATGCTAGCTCAATTTTTTTGGGAGCAGTTGCATTGGAGGGAGAGGTCGACAATGGAGTAAATGGAGTAATCTATGCCTACCAGAGAAAGAAGGAGGACTGGGTTTCAGACTAATGCATAACTTATATATGGCGTTGTTCTGTAAATTATGGTGGAATTTCAGAACTAAGAAAACGTTATGGAGTGAATACATGAGGAATAAATATTATAGAAACAAGAGTCCTAATCTTGCTATGTGGAAAGTTGGAGGAGAAGGTTCCCAAGTTTGGAAGAAAATGTTGCAAGCAAGAGACCTCATAGAACACCAAATATTGTGGCAAATTAGAAAGGGATCAACATCTTTTTGGCATGATAACTGGACTGGACTAGGGGATTTGTATACCAATACTGGAGAAAATTTTGAATGGGATGACAATTATAAAATGGTGGATCAGGTAGTTCATCAGGGAGAGTGGGATGTGCAGACTCTGATGTCAATCATTCCAGCTGAACTGGTTGAATATATCATCAGCATTATCAAACCTCCAAGAGGAAGGAATGAGGAAGATATACCATGTTGGATGTTGGAGACTAAAGGGAATTTCTCAGTCAAAACAGCTTGGAATTATATTAGACATAAGGAGGAACCTAATTGAATTCACAAATGGATATGGACAAAGGGAATCCCTTTCAAAATGGCTTTTATGATGTGAAGGTTATGGAAATTTAAGATACCAGTAGATGATAGATTGAGAAGATGGGGCCTACAGGGTCCATCGAGATACTGGTGCTGTGAAAATCCTGATCAAGAAACACTTACTCATGTGTTTCTCAGATCGAACATTGCTAACAGGACATGGTCCTATTTTTGCTCTTGTGCAGGTCTATCTATAACAGGATTGCAGCTGATGGAGGTGATAATGTTGTGGTGGGGAGCAAATGCCAAAAAAGACATGAAACCATACTATAGAGCTATTCCAAGCTTTATAATATGGGAGTTGTGGAACAGGAGAAACAAAATGAAACACGAGAGGAAGAACATCTCGTTGGCTAGAATTATCCATAATGTTACCAGGAACATGTTCATGTTGACCAAGGTGTGAAGATCTAAGATGATATGCTCGGGAAACTGGCCAATAATGTTAAAAGAACTGAAGGAGTACTGTCCAAGTGTGAAGGTCACTCAGATAAAATAGGAATTTCCCTTAGAAGGATGGATAAAATATAACACTGATGGAGCGTCAAGAGGTAACCCAGGTTTAAGTTCTTATGCATTTTGTTTAAGGGATAAGAAAGGGGACTTAATTCATGCAGAAGGGGCTAGCATAAAAAACACTACAAATACAGTGGCAGAAGCTAAAGCTATACTAGAAGCAAGTAAACACTGTAAGCAGGCACTTTATAACAAGATCACCATTCAAACAGATTCTATGCTATTGTATAAAGTACTAGGGGGACAATGGGAATCACCATGGATAATCAGAGACATGATAGAGGAAATCAAGACAAATTTGGTAAACATACAGCACATAGTCCAACATGTTATGAGGGAAGGAAATCAACTTGCGGACTATATAGCAAATCAGGCAATAGAACATGGAAATTGCATATATACAGGATTTGCGAGCCTAGAACCAAAGGGAAGAAGGATATTAAATAGTGATAAGATACAAAGCCCATATCTACGAATATCATCAAGGAAGGATAATGGGGGAGAAAAGGATACAACATAGATGTTTTACATTTACAAGATGTACACTAAATCTAGTAAATATTACAAGTATGAAATGCAAGATAGTCTTGTTTCTTGGATCGGAGTAAAACTGAAAGACGATGGACCAGAGTAAACCTTGCAAGTCGGTCAAGCATCATATACAGAAAGAAGACAAAGAAATTAGTAGTTTGAAGATGAAGTTGGAAAAAGAAGAAAGAAATGGGACTCACATAGTAAAGAAGCCCGCCCCTAGCAGAGAAGATCCATAAACAAAACATCACAAGCACAAGCCAGCGTATCAGAGAACACAATTGCGCCCCGAACGAGTTAGATTCAATCAAGGAGGAGAACTGCGCAACAGACAGAAAGACAATTACTTATTATTGATAAATGAGCAACGAAGGAACAAGAGGCAGATCTTACAAATTGATTTCTCACTTTAGGAGAAGATGGAAAGATTTGTTAGATCATAGCAGGAGAAACATAATTTAGATGTGGAGATTTGTTGGTCAGATGAGGAAGAAACGGCGTTTAGAAAAAACTTGTCTAAAGGAAAATGTATTAGGAAACTAGGCTTTTAGTTTGTTTTTTATTTTTTCCGTTTTTGTCTAGTAGCTGGACCTGGACAATAGGCCCAATTGAGTTGTATGTTCTTTTCAATTACTAAAAGGACTGAAAATTTTAACAAAAAAAAAAAGATTCCCATATTCCTTAAAACTAGGATTAATTAATTATCTTCTTAATTTACTCTTTCACTCTAAATCAATCACTCTCTCTTAATCCCCTCCTCCCATATTTATCACTCAATTATCTCTCCTCCTTTCCGATTCAAGAATTTCACCATACAATTTCATTCAAACAATGACTAATCTACTCTCCTCTTTTCAAGATATCATCACCATGACTGATAAAAATCTTCTGAACCCAAACCATATTATGTATTGTTCCTTTCTAACGAGATCGAATTGAAGTAACTATTATAAAGAAAGCTTTCCAAATTGATTAATGGATCCGCCAAACAGTTCACATTCATCGTCGAAGACTTCACAAGCTCTTTGTCATTGAAGCCATGGATTCTATGGATTTTCGAGTTTATTTTTAATAAATTCATGATGGTGTGTTACATTGTATCTCTATTAACTAATCATTTTCATTGTAGACACCGATAGAAATTCAATGAGGAGAAAGATTAAACATGAATTCTTTTATATGTATATGAAATTAATGTTAAATATCTCAGCTTCAAAAGTTATTAATCTTGTTTAATTAGATGTATTTGATGTATTTAAACAAGTTAATGTATCTTTTTATTTTCATTGTATATGCAGTAAGTCTTCATTCAGGGTATCTGTATTAAAGCCCAACTAATCTAGATTTGTACTGTGTAAGGCTCCATTCGGGGGAAAGCATTCCCCACCAAATATTTTTTCATCCCCAAGGTTCAAACCTAAGACCTCTGATTAAGAGAGGAACAACTCTATCCACTGTACCACATTCTTTGGTGGCAAATGCTAATTAATTGGTCTGACCTTGTTTATATTTTTTTCAAATTTTATATTAGGGAGTACCATCACATGATTTATGCTGCCAAAAAATCGTGGGTTAACTATCACACATAAAGTAAATAGAAAAAATAACATAAAAATTTAACGAGATTCAACTAAGCTTAATCCTCTGGACAGAAGCGGAGAGACATCCATTATGAAAGACAAGAAGTGTATAATGCTTATGAACATAAGTGGATCCGGGATTTTTATGTTCCGGTGCCACACTAATTTTTGGCTTGATTTATTGAGCTTCGATTTGAATATTAGCCGTCCTTTTACTTTATATAGACAAGTTGATCGAACAAAATAGTTTAATAATTATGACAATTTTAAACAAAGTATAAAAGTTTAATAATCATATATTATTAAAAGTGGGAAGCTCCAAAGATGAAAAGTTGGATTACCATTTTACCGCTAGACTAAATTAAACATCTAATTAATTAAATAATATTATTTTAATTATTTTTTGAACTGTAAGATATTTATTAGAAAGGGAATTTGGAAGAACAAGAGACAATTAGTATTTTTAGAATTTTAAATAAGTACACAAATCAAGGTTTTCCCCTTTTAATCTTAAATTAAAGAATATGAAGAGTTGTAGCTAAATCAATAAATACCACTACCAAATATAAATTTGTTATCTTGAATTCTTCCACTAGCATGTATACGTACTTCTATGGTAAAGTTCCTTCTTTTTCCATCTTCTATTGTTTGTTTGTAAGATTTTTATCATTTATAGATTTTTTTCAAATTAGAAAGGATTGTTTCAATTCTAATTATTTATTTATGATTGCTTCTCTTTCTGGAATTTCTTGTTACTATTTTGTGTAGAAATGGAAAATCACTATACATATTGTCTTGCAATGTATCCAGTGCTATTTGGGTTGGAGTAATTTTGGTATTCTCAACTAATTACTAATAATTTTACTTATTATGGTCACAACTACAATATTTTTAAAATACAAATGGACACACGAGAGAATTTTATTTTTGCTTTTGCTTGAACTAATCAATAGTTGAGGTGTCTATATTCATGAATTCAGATGAAGAGAAAAGAGATAAAAATAGAAAAATTTAGGATGGAGTTCTAGGTACAAACAACTACATAATCTCTTTCAATGCTATGAAATTATTCGGTGAATTAAAATAAACCTTGTTTATTTAATTGTCACGACCCAGACTGTCGTGAGTGGCACCCACACCAACCCTCTGGTGGGAGAACTAAAACTACAGCCCAACTAATCAACTTAACCAAGTATTACACATTTGAAGCTACGGAAACAGGTTTAAATAAAAATAAAAATGTGGAGTTCCCATAAACTCCAAAGGTTTAAACAATTAACTAACCAAACTAATGCGGAAGAACAACCCCTAAAACCTAAAAGTCATTGTACCAAAACTCTACTAACGACAAGTCTAAGAACAAGGGGTACAACCCCGAAACTAAACAACACCTTAAACAAATAGTCTGAGTCCGAAAAGTGGACTTAAACAAGAAATATTCATGACAGCCTGAAAGAACTGGCTCACCCTTGAATCCGGTCACGCTCAATAGTCACCTAGTTAAGGTCTATCAATAGCTGCTTGAAGATACCCTGTACTCAACAAAGAACAAGCAAGTAAAATAAATGAAACACATTCAAGTAACCACAACATTATATAATAGACATATATCGAACATATACAATATTAGTCATCTTTTACAAATAACGCACACTTTCACAAGTCTCAAGAGATACAATTATCCTTTTGGAGCAACATACATTCTTCCAATACCCATCATCATTAGATATGAACGTAATCATCACAAGTATATACACAACACAATTCAATGGTCCTCTCAGGGAACCCAATGGTCCTCTCATAGAACCCAAACCCAAACTGTTAGCATACCGATTCGTGGTACCCGATCCAAGTTAGTGTGCTGAAATCTAGCAGCCGATCCCATGTTTATGCCGGAATGTGGCAACTGATCCATTCAACAAGTCACAATCACAATCACAATCACAATGTACATTCTCATAATCATACAATCAAGTGTTGATTCATGGCATACAATTATTCAATTATCCTCATTTATGATTAAGGTGATCAATAATGCAACATTCACATACATACATGTATTATTATGAAGCAATTACAAACATATATCACACCAACATGAAATCACAACCATCACATACCTCGAACAAAGCTTGAATCCCTTAAGAAACTTGATTCTTCCCTTTCCAGATTCATTTCGATTGTTCTTGGTCTACAAACAACAATTATAATACAGAAATCAATAAACGAACACTAATTACCCGGATTACTAACAATTCTATGAACCCTAGATCAAACATGTGATCCCAAGTATTCAAAATAGGGTTGTTTCCACCATAAAATCTATAACAAA